CCTTTTCTGAGGTTCTACCTCCTTGTGCCTCACCACAGGGAAACATGGAAAGTAGAGAAGCTCTGTGGTCTTCACAGACAGGAAATGCTGGTTTGTTCTGCTCATTTAGAAGGAAGGGGGAGCAGAGCAACGGATCTTAGAGAAAAGCCCAAGGCAGCTGTTGATCCAGTCAAGATGGTCATGTTTACTGACCACTTACATTCACAGCACAGTGCTGAGAAGCCAGAGACTACAGGAGTGTTCTATGAGCTTGAGAAAGGATTAGGAGTTCAAGCAGGATTCATCTTTCCATCTGAGGAAAGGACAGCTCACATGGCTTGGGTTGAGCAGAGTTGAAAGAAGCAACTGTAATATGCTAGTAAATATGCTGAATGGGAACCAAAAAGATTACATGTGGAGAGATATGAGACATGCATGTGAAAGCCCCATGGCATGCAGTGTCTCAAACATCCTGGAGGGCTTTAGCATTGGCTGAAACTTTATGTATAGTTTGATTAGAAGATAGTTTTCACTCCAAATTTGGACAATTTTTGCAGTGAAGGTAATTAAACTTTCTCATCCCATACTGATTTGTTTTAGATCCCAGAATCCATACCCCCAGTTTACTTTTCACCCCCAAATTTTAAAAACCCAATAAAACACACTAAGGATTTCAGAATGATATTTATATTTCTCAAGAACTCACAGCTTAAATTATAAATAGTTCCTAGTCTATTATTTTGAAGTAATGATGGAGAACAGAAGTAGACATTGTTAGGAAAGTATGGTTTTAAAGATTTGCTTTTTTGTTTATACATACATATGTGTGTGTGTGTGTGTGTATGTGTGTGTGTGTGTGTGAATGTAGGTGCACATGTGTACAGGTGCCTGTGAGGGCCAGAAGAAGGTTTCAGATCCCTTGCAGCTGGTGCTAAAGGTGATTGTGATGCCTGATGTGGGTATTGGGTACTGAACCCCTGTCCTCTGCAAGAGCAGCGATTGCTCTGAATTGCTAAGACCTGGAAAGTGTAATTTGATAAAGAAAGCTTTTAGATGTGCACTAAGGGAGTAAGAATGATAAAGATTATATATTATATTTTTGTGTATGATGAGTGCTTGCTCATGATTTTATAAGCTAACAAATAGAAAATAGGTTAAACGAATTATTTTGTTATTTAGA